GGTGACTGACAATTTTAAAATAGCTACAGTTAAAGAAACTGAATAGATGAGAAGATGAGTACAGCAGGCAATGTGGCTTCTAGACTGGGAGTTTAAGTCTCTCTCTTGTTCACAGACAATGAAGAGAGTTAACATCCTCCTAATCTTACACACACAGATCTTCATTTTGAAGAAGTAGCACCCTACAAAAATAGGTCTTCACAAACGTGCCATAAAAATGGGATACTTTAATAATAGCCCTCCTTCCTCTGCAGGACACAGATACAGCTTAGCTGGATGTTGAATCCTCATCACAGAAAAATGACTAAATCACAGGATTCACTTTTTATTACCTGTAACCACAAAATCTGAAGGACCATTAGTCAGAAGCAGTTTGAGAAGATTATTTTAGGCACCGAACATCGGATAAAGATGGACGAAAGAACATAGTTTTCACCTCTTTTAAGGCAGACACCCAGTTAAAAAAAAAAAAGTATAATGCTGTTACGTTAAAAAAATGTAACATTTACATAGTTTACTACAGCAAAAGGAAAAAAGCATAATATTTCAAGACACAGGACTTTATCAAACAAACTACTCTCAGAAAAGTTAAAAATAACATGAACGAAGATACATTTTAAAGACTAACAAGATTTCCACATACGCATTCCAGAAACTAAAACCAAGAAGTATCTGTCAAACCCAGCAGCCACTAAGGTCAGCTATGGCACTGCACAGCTGAACTGTTCTGTTCCACCTTCGCACACCTGACGTCAGCACTTGATGCTGACACAGGAGCATTTTCTTCAACAGTTCGACAGCAGTGGAAATCACTACTACGAGCAGAGAGCAAACAATACATTTTTAATGGAAACCACTATCTTAAGATAGCCATTAACACGAAACAGCTTCTGAGAGTCTGTGGACTGCATTTAAAAGAATTTTAATCACCGTTATAAAGTAATTAAGAAAAACAGGCTTCTAATTAGTAGGCCTCAGTTGACAGAGGTCCTCACCTCCAAAACCGCTAGCAATCATTAAAAACAAAATTCCGGAAACCATCTGTAACCCAAGCTTACGCTCGCTAAAAGAGGGAACAAACCCCCCACCCCCGAGCTACCGGAATCAACAGCCTCTTTACGACACCCC